TTCCTCTAGGCTTCCAAAGTTTATCTTAACCAGGCGAGAAACGCTACATGGTTTACTAGCGCTAAGTTTACATTTCTGCTTCGTCTCGAAGCTCACCTCTTCCAGAAGTTCAGTTAGTTGGGGCGCAAGCGTAAAAAATGACGTACCAGGCCTCTCTTTCCTTTATGTCGCTCCGCCGTTCTCTCTACTGCGTCCTAACTAACTGGATGCCTGGCAGAGGCTATCCCGAAGCGCAACCTGTTATCTCGAGCACTGGATTAGAAATTCTAGCTTAATGACCATCGCCATCGTGACAAAGGTGGAGGGACCGGAACGACTCTCATCATGCAAAGAGCACCAAGCGACGGTCATCTGCAATTTTCCTGCAGAAAAACAGATCGTAACTGGGCGCAGCTATGGAAATTTCCCTGCCATCCACAGTTAAGGCTCGCCTAACGGCTGTTGTATCACTTTTTTCTTTCTACCACATTTTGACGTCATCGGGAATCCAGTTACTGCACAGACGCAGGGCAACATGGGGTCTATTTGCTAAACATTAGTCAGCGAGGCCGAAGGCCGAGTCAACTGCCGCCTCATAGAATGTATGCAATGATGTGCAATGTATACAATGAGAACACGATGCTGCATAGTGTTGCCATTTTATCTTATGAATAAATCACAACTGATGCAGTTTGCTTTCTAATTGAAGTTTATTTATACACAGCTTGAAATCTTAGCAAACTATCAAAAGCACTGCATGCACAAGATCAGGAAAATGTTGCGGCACTGACAAATTATTTCCACCGTCTATTTTTTAGCAAATATCCTAACAGCAACGCAACAAAGCTTGAATTATTATTTTTACTTTATCTGCTGTTCTATTGGCCTTAATCAATTTTCTTGTGCCAGCGATAGTGATGTTCCTCCCGTTAAAGCTATTCTTTTGTCAATTCCTCTCCGATGTCAGCTTTTTAATCCCCCGCTGACTGCTCAATCTGTGAAGGAAAACATTTTGAAATATTAGTATTTTGGCTACTCATAAATACTTCTTTTTTAAGGGCTTCACATTTATTGTTTAGTCTTAGGTATCGCAATACGTAGTCCTTTTACATGAGCCTTATTACTGACATCCCTGGGCTAATTGCGTTATTGAGTTGATATCTCTGAATATACTTTTGGGGGTAGAATAGCCATCAATTGAAACTGAAACTGTCAATGCTGCCACTATTTTTTAGTTAGCGCCATTTTTTTTGATGCCACAATAATGATATCAAACAATTGCCAAATCATAATAATAATAAAAATAATAATAATCATAATCAACTTTATTTATTGAGGGTAGCACACAACAGTAATCCCTGAAAAACCAGTGGCTCGCATATAAATATTTACAGAATAAAAAGATGACGTGTTAAAAATTAAAAATAAAGAAAAATTCTCAAATATGCGACGGTAATATAAAAAAAAACTAAGACATGAGACACACTAAAATGTTCAAAAGAAAAGCATTGGAACCCAGATTTAGATTTTCGGGGCCTGGTGAGAATATATGATTGATTATTCTCTACGCATAATTGACTAACCTTTTCGTACGATCTACAGCACCGCCAACTATGCACACCGCAAAGGCAGTACTGACGTTTTTCTCTTTTCGGCGGTAAATCTTCAACATCCTGTGACGACGAAATTGATGCCTAAAAGAAATAAATATTGAATAAACATGTACAGTCAATTAGCTTTCAGAAGAAGAATGTGGTGATGGGAATGTCTAAAGCCGAGTACAACATCCAATGGTATGGGCCTAATTTTAACTACGAATGACTCAAAAACGTGCTCGATGACCCCAAATCTTATATTATAGAATTTTGATAAGCAGTATAAGACGTAACTTTTGGCAATTTTTGAAACTCGTCTGTACATATATACATGTTGAATTGTTTTGAAAATAAGAGGGCAGATAGTAGAGAAATGAAACTTACTGGCTTGAAATCATGTAAGGCGTCACTGCGATCCACTCCAGGGTGAGCGGCAACTTCAAACAATTCTGTTCGCTTGTTTGGGTCTACCTCCATGTTCTCGTTGTATTCTTGCCCGGCCTCCCCAACGTGAGCAGTGAGATCCACAACCTTGTTGGATAAAATGGCGCTTATATGACACTATATTCTCGGGCAAGAGTAATAGTAAAAGCAAGAAAAACAAAAGAGATCAATACGTAAGCTTACCTTTTGAGGGGAAATGTGGGACTCCTTTCTTTCGTCGTGCCTTTTGTAAACAGGGTTACCAGAAGTAGAACTTAACAACACGAATATGACGAATAAAAAGTACTCCATTTTCTTGGGACTGCCTGGGACGGTGAATGACAATATATTCTGTTCGCTTGTTTGGGTCTACCTCGATCTTCTCGTCGTATTCTTCCCCGGCTTCGCTGATGTGAGCAGTGAAATCCACGACCTTGTTGGGAAAAATGACACTTACGACGTAAATATATTATTGATCAAGAGTAATTGGGGGAAGTCTGAAGAATAAGGACATCGATATACACCTCTTTAGGAAAAAAATAGGACTCCTTTGTTTCCTCGTGGTTTTTATAAACAGGGCTACCAGAAGTCCAACTTAGCAAGACAAATACGACGACGAAAGAGCACGCCATTTGGGACTTGGACGGTGAAAGGCTTCTGCAAAACAACTGTGGAGAAAATTGAGGACAAAAACAAAACTATGGTCGATTGCCGCACAGGTGACCCAAGATCTCTCTGCGAGGAGTAACGGTAACTCACGGTAACCTGTGAGATGCAGGATATGTTGGTTACACTCGTAGCCACCTCCACGAACGCGTTGATGGGCACAAACAAAAATCGTCGTCAATATGTAAACATTATTTGAGCGAACATAAGTTGAACGTACCTCCTTGTCTTTCAGAACAATTTCACGTGCGTACTAAATGTTCTAACAAATTTGATTGCCTAATCAAGGGGATGCTTTTTATAAGAAAACTTAAACCATCCCTAAACGTGCAAACGGACTCGATTCGCGCAAAGGTATTCACTTGAAGAACTTATGATCCTTTGTCATTATGCTAATTTCTAGAGACTGTATAGAAATCAAATCTTCGCATTATTTATTCACTTTGCCTTGAGAATGGTGTCACACTGACGCCGAAACGTCGGCTTTTAACGTTAATATTCGCCTGCTTATGTTTTAAGAAATCATTATTGATCAAGGCGATGAATATATTCAGCTATTAAATAGAAATAGAGCCTAGTCAGTCTTCGAATGGGGAAGCAGATAGGGAAAAAATTAAATCTGAGATCTAAATTCACGGGTCACTGAAACAAATAACTTGTAAGTGTTAAAATATTGAGAGAAGGTAGGCCTTTAAAGAAAAGTGTTCCCTCCGATGGTCGAAAGTTTTCTCTTACTTCTAATTTCCATATGAGAATGACATTGCCAAAGGCTTCCAAATATACAAGCAATTGGTTAAAAGGACCCTACTGTGCAAAATGGAACTATTTCGGGGACGAAGATGGAAGTGGATTGCAGTTTATCATTTTGTGAAAAACCAGAACACACTGAAATGCCAAAGGAACTAACCACAGTCTACTTTTCTAGTAGATTCTAATCAATTAAGCGACTGAAATATTAGAATCACTGATCAAAACGCTTCAATGAGAAGAACACTTACCTGCTGTAACAGGCACTCGATAGTCTTGTTCACTCAACAAACGTGAGGCAACAAGTCACGGATTGTTCAACAACAAAGACTTCCTATCATAAAGATTGGTTTTAACTGGCGCACTAGCAACATACGCAGACTCAACAGAGTGTAGCTAAGAAACGCCTTTTGTTTGGAAATTAGCATAACTAAAGGTGCTAACTATCAAAATCTTACTGCTTCTTCGTATGTCAGCTTATGCTAATGCTTATGCGCTAGTGAAAACACATGGCACATAAGAAGAGCGCATAACACCCGACTCTATTTACACCAGCCCTCCTTAGCGCCTCCTCTCTGCGTGGAAAATGAAGGTTCTGCTCACATGCTTGCTGCATGAAAGGTCACAACAGAAGATATACATTTACGTTACGTTAGCAATTGTCCCACAATAGCGGCGAAACTCCAGAACGTGTAATCTGAAGCTCTCATACTGTTTATGAGGCTAATTGACAAGTGATGTTTTAGATGCTTAACGAAAGTTTGTATATTACTGGGGCGAGGAGCACGCGAACACTCTGCCTGTGGTCTGATCTCTAGCTAGACCACAGGCTACCCAGGTGTTGTGTATACGATTTACGTGACATTTGCCTTACGATATCAGTCGCTTATAGGACAATGAATGGGAATGCTACGAAAATTACTCTTACTCTTACTCTTGCTACATGTACAAAAGATTTTTAAATAAGATGGCTTCCTTAGTATTATTATTACACGAGTTATATTTTCTAGTGTCTCGCCTCCATTAAAGAGAAATGGCTATAACCCACACTCGAAGCTCCATAAATTCTACAAAAATGGCCTAATCTCGCAAAAATTACCTCACGGTCTACAACTCTCATTTCTAATTGCTTCCTCTAGGCTTCCAAAGTTTATCTTAACCAGGCGAGAAACGCTACATGGTTTACTAGCGCTAAGTTTACATTTCTGCTTCGTCTCGAAGCTCACCTCTTCCAGAAGTTCAGTTAGTTGGGGCGCAAGCGTAAAAAATGACGTACCAGGCCTCTCTTTCCTTTATGTCGCTCCGCCGTTCTCTCTACTGCGTCCTAACTAACTGGATGCCTGGCAGAGGCTATCCCGAAGCGCAACCTGTTATCTCGAGCACTGGATTAGAAATTCTAGCTTAATGACCATCGCCATCGTGACAAAGGTGGAGGGACCGGAACGACTCTCATCATGCAAAGAGCACCAAGCGACGGTCATCTGCAATTTTCCTGCAGAAAAACAGATCGTAACTGGGCGCAGCTATGGAAATTTCCCTGCCATCCACAGTTAAGGCTCGCCTAACGGCTGTTGTATCACTTTTTTCTTTCTACCACATTTTGACGTCATCGGGAATCCAGTTACTGCACAGACGCAGGGCAACATGGGGTCTATTTGCTAAACATTAGTCAGCGAGGCCGAAGGCCGAGTCAACTGCCGCCTCATAGAATGTATGCAATGATGTGCAATGTATACAATGAGAACACGATGCTGCATAGTGTTGCCATTTTATCTTATGAATAAATCACAACTGATGCAGTTTGCTTTCTAATTGAAGTTTATTTATACACAGCTTGAAATCTTAGCAAACTATCAAAAGCACTGCATGCACAAGATCAGGAAAATGTTGCGGCACTGACAAATTATTTCCACCGTCTATTTTTTAGCAAATATCCTAACAGCAACGCAACAAAGCTTGAATTATTATTTTTACTTTATCTGCTGTTCTATTGGCCTTAATCAATTTTCTTGTGCCAGCGATAGTGATGTTCCTCCCGTTAAAGCTATTCTTTTGTCAATTCCTCTCCGATGTCAGCTTTTTAAT